GCTTTATTTCATAGTCGCTCTAGGTTTTTATTTTTTCAAATCTTTTGAAATGTAGTGTATGTTCTTTTACAGGGTGTTGATTGTGTGCATTTGTTTCTTTGCTGCAAAAGGTAGTAAAACTATTTCTAAAATATTTGTTTTTAGCCGCTTCAAAGGTTGGGGTTCATGACCAATATTGATCAGTAATTTACATTTTCCTCACTCATTAAAATCAACACGTGTAACAACAATTTGTTCTAGTTTTTCAAATCATCATCTGGGTATAAATAAGTATATATTTTGATGAAAGAAACTAGCAACTGTATACTTTATTCACAAACGTTATTTATGGAAACACTACAGTAACGCTCATACTCTGCTGTGTAATCACAACGAAAGCATTAGCACCTTTAAAATGTACATTATGAGAGCAGCCTTTTAAAATAAACTGTTATATATTTTCTGTTCTTGTGTCTTTATTTTTCCAGTTGTAGTATATAGTGAATGAAGGATGACACTTCCTCACTTTACTCCCCTTTTATTATTTATTTTGCTCTCGTTAAAGCGAGGCTCCAGCCTGTCAGTTTACTGACCAGCAACAACTTAATGTATTTACTCTTTCATAATCAGAACTCAGTCACAAGTAGAATTGTGTTAATTACTGGGAGTTCTATACCATAACATGAATATTCATCCAAAGGAGACCAAATTTGTCTTTTAATTTTTTTTTTTTTTACAAAAGTATTTAATCCAAAAAAGAGTCATCAACAATAAACAAAATTGAACAACACAATAATAAGGATAATTATGGAGATTATCTAGTCAGAAAAGTAGTAAAGTTGTTACTAAAACAATAATGAAGATTCTAAACAACAATCGGTCAAGGATTAATTATCTTTTATGCAAGATAAAATTAAATCTTTGAGCAGGGATTATTTTGTCTTTTATACGGGCATTAATTTCGTTCAACCTTTATTTATACAGGTTAGTTTCGTTGAGTCTTGAGGACTCACTTACAAGAGAGACCTGCTTTAAACAAAGAGCACAGATGACAACAGTAGACAATCATTAAAAAAAGCAAATAAAATGAAAAGTAAATGGAAGAAATTATATATAAAAAAAAAAAAACAGCTACATTTAGACAAAATTTGGTTCAGAGGAGTTATTTAACTTGACCAGATCGAGTCATTTATTATCACAGCAAGCCGGGAAATGATTTATCAAGTTGCAGCAGCTAAAATGGCATAACTAGACTCAAAGATGCATCATGTCATCAGGCTTCAGCTTTACCAGGTCTGTTTGAGGGCTGGGTTCACTCGTCTCTCCGGGGTTCTGCTGGTAGATCAGAGCAGGATTCACCTCAAGAACAGGACTAACCAGACACTGCAGGGTAGGGAAAGTCACTACGACTGTTTCAGGGGTCGGTGTCTCAGCTGGTGTGCAGGCGATAAGACAACCGTCAGTCGGCGTAGACCAAAAACCCGAGTCTCGCAGTGAGAAAACCAATGTTTCATCTACGGTAGTTACTGGAAACTTCTACTTTGCTTCTAACAAAAATTGTAACTGAGCAAACCTGTTGTTTTCTTTACTCTGGACTAAACGAGACACGCATCAGACGAACACATCAGGATGGAGAAAACAGACGAACTGAAAAGTGTCACGCAAAGAAACTTTCTGTGAACCATCAGCTCTCAGAAGTGTTTAGGACAGGGCTATTGAACAAAACTGCGCAGGGGGCCACAGTTTCTGAGAGCCAGCAGCTCAGGGGCCGGACATCCAGCAATTAAAGTCATTCAGTAAATAAGTCAAGTTTTAAATTGATCGATTACCTTTTAAATTTGTTTATTTGAATGCATTGAATCATAAATGCAATAAAAAGAACCCAAACCCAGA